CTCCAGGGACTGGAGGTTTCACCCCTCCCCCACCACACAGTCTGGCTTGCTGAGGAGTAAGTGAGGGGACAGGTAGGGAGGTCATGGCCCAGTGAGATGTGGGGCCCAGCTGGGGGAGGGGGAACTGTTCTCTAGTGGGGAGAAGACAGCCCGCCCCTCACCTGTCATCCTGATCCCCCCGAGGCTCTGAGGATCATGGGCTCCACACCATGGAGTCAGACCCCAAGAGGGGTAAATGAGGGGCTCTGTGAGGAGGTGATGGGTGCCTCCATGGGGGACGGGGGCTGAGCCATGCGGGGGTTCAGGCACCTGTGGAGACGCTGACTTGGACTCACCCTTCCCCTGCCTGGGCCTCAGTGTCTCCCAGTATAAACGGAGATAATCCTTGTCCAGAGCTCAGATTTCCTGTCGGTTCTGGCCCTGACCTCCTGGGAGCGGGGGCCTCACAGGGAAGCAACCAGGACGTGATGTTATGGGGCCTGTCCCCTCTGTCTCAGTAACGGTGACACTGTACAGGGAGGGACAGGCAGGACAAGGGTCTGGGCCCCCAGTCCTACCCTTCAGCTCAGGCTCAGCTCAGAGGAAGGAACAGGGAGGATCAGCCCTGATTCAGCTCCTGGTTCTGCTGCTCCTGCTGTGGGGCTGGGCGGTCCCTTCTCTCCTCTGAGTGTCGGCTTCCTGTCTGCTCATCCCTGGTCCCATCCTGCTCACAGGCTGCTGGGAGAGGAGGTGACATAAGGGCCTCACAGAGCTCAGGAGGGCAGAGCCCCCAGCCCACCCCGACCTTCCCCAGGGAGCATCACAGCTTGCAGGGTGGGGACAGATCCAGGAGAGACAGGGAGTCCACTCTTCACCCTGCCTCTCCTGTCCCTGCTGTGCTGGGGGCGGGTAATGAGGAACACCCTCAGCTCCAGCTGAGACGTGGACAAGCCCCTGAAGATGAGGAGCCCAGAGAACAAAGCTGGTGTCCCCTGGGGGGCAGCATGAGGACAGCACAGGGAACCCACAGTCCTGGGTTCCAGTCCCAGCCCCGCCCCGTCCAGGCTGAGTGACCTGGGGCACGTGATTAAACTCTCTGAGCCTCAGTGAAGTGGGTGGTGGGGTCAGCAATCCTTGGTGCATGACTGCTCTGAGGTGAAAGGAGGTGAGTGACAGACCCCAGCATGTGCCTCACACATAGTAGGTGCTGTTTAATAACATCATTGCCTCATTCATGTCATGAGGATACAAGGGCTCCCCTGACATTTCAGGTCTGATTCCTTTCTAGGAAATGTTCTCAAACCCTCCATCTGGGCTGACCCAGGAACCATTGTCACCAATGGGAGCCCTGTGACCATCTGGTGTCAGGGGTCTCTGCAGGCTAGTGCCTATGTTCTGTATAAAGACAGGGGCTCTGAGCCCTTGGAAACCAGGATCCCACAGGACTCCAGCAACAAGTCCGGTTTACACATTGAAGCCACAACCTCACACCATGCAGGGCTGTACCAGTGTGCATATTACACCACTGAGGACATACTCTCAGAGCGGAGTGACCCCCTGCTCCTGGTGGTGACAGGTAAGGGAGAACCCTGGCCCCCTACCCACTGAGGTCACAGGCAGAGGAAATAAACTGTGGCCTCAGGGGGACCTCACCCCTCACAGAACACACATGGGGCGTGAGGGTGATGGTCCCTTTAACACAGACCCTTTCTCCTCCCTCAGGAGTGTATGGGGCACCCTCCCTCTCAGCCCAGCCAAGCCCTGTGGTGGCCTCGGGAGGGAATGTGTCCCTCTCCTGTAGCTCACAACACACATCGGGCCCTTTCCATCTGCTGAAGGAGGGAGGGGCTGATCTGCTCCGAAGCATCAAATCAGAATGGATGATGCATGCTGGGAGGTGGCAGGCCATCTTTTTTCTGGGTGGCGTGAGCCGCTCACATGGGGGGACCTACAGATGCTATGGTTCTTCCAGCTACAACCCCAACGTGTGGTCACAGCCCAGTGCCCCTCTTCACATCGAGGTCACAGGTGAGGGACAGGACTGGGTACAACACCATCTGTTTCCTGGACCCAAATACCTGACCTGAACTCTGTGCCTAGTGGAGCCCTGGGCTCATGGGGGACAGTCACACTGGCCTATTGTGGACAGACCCACAGGCGGGAGGCTCAGGGAGGGACACGGGAGACCTCTCACTGCAGGCCAGTAGGCGATGTGAGGTGTCCCCTGCTGCCACTGTCTCCTCCTCCCAGGTGTGCACAGGGAGCCCTCCCTCTCGGCCCAGCCAGGCTCGCTGGTGCTGCCTGGACACAGCCTGACCCTCCAGTGCCACGCGGAGGCTGACTTTGACACATTCGCTCTGACCAAGGACGAGGGGCTCACACACCCACAGCACCTCGATGGGCAGCACAGCCCCAACTTTTCCCTGGGCCACGTGAGCCGCACCCACGGGGGCCAGTACAGATGCTACAGTGGACACAACCTCTCCTCTGTGTGGTCGGCCCCTAGCGCCCCCCTGGACATCCTGGTGGCAGGTGAGGAGCCAGCCCTGCCCCTGTCCTGAGGGTCTGCTCAGGGCTCTGGGCCCAGGGTCACCTGGGGGTGATGGGGTCCAGGAGAGGGGCCTGGAGCAGAGGCTGAGCTGGGCAGAGGCCTAGGGGAGGGAGGGAGAAAGGGGGTGAGGGGAGGGGTGACTCTCTACACATCACAACCTTCCTCTCCCTAGGAATGTACAGGAAACCCTCCCTCTCAGCCCAGCCAGGACCCTCAGTGCCCTGGGGAGTGACCGTGACCCTGCAGTGTGGGTCTGAGATCTGGTTTGACACCTTCCACCTGCACAGGGAGGGGTCACTGGATCCTCCCCAGCACCTTCATCTGCAGAACACGTCTGCACCCTCTCAGGCCAACTTCACCCTAAGTCCTGTGACCTCAGGCCACCAGGGGACCTACAGGTGCTATGGCTCAAACAGCACCTCCCCCTACCTGCTCTCACAGCCCAGTGACCCCCTGGAGCTGGTGGTCTCAGGTGAGGAGCCCCAGCCCTGTGTCCCAGGTCAGGTCAGGCCCCTGTCTCCAGAGGCTGAGGGAGTACCTTGTGGAAGCTGGCGAGGATGGGGCTGACCAGAAGGAGAAAGGCCAGAGGTACCCATCCAGACCTTCCAGTCCCCAGTCCGGTGGCCTCAGCCAGAGAGACAAAGACAAGAGTGTGACCAGCAGAGGCCGGTCCCCAGAAAGAGCAGGACCCTCTGCTGGGACTCTGCATGTCTCCCAGGAGTGCAGGGTGAAGATGCTGGGGGACCACCAGGGGAGGAGCAGCCCCCACTCCCCACCTCCCATCCTGATTGAGGAACCTCTGAGGATTGGTCCCACAACGGGAAGTCAGGCCCGCAGAGGACTAAGTGAGGGTCTGGGGGGAGGTGGTGGGTGGGAGGAGCTCAGTGTTGGTCTTGGCTCAGCCACTTCCTGGGTAATGGCCCGAGGAACATTCCTCCTTCTCATTGGGCCCAAGTTCCACAAAGGCTGTTAGGACACTGCGTGTGCACGTGTGTGTGTGTGTGTGTGTGTGTGTGTGTGTGTGTTTATGTGTGTGTCTCTTTGCGTGTTTGCATGTGCGTGCCTGTGTATGTATGTGCACATGTGCGTGTGTGTGTGTGTGTGTGTGTGTTGGAGCAGCCGTGGAGTCAGGAGAAGCCTCAGCCCTGATTCAAATCCCAGCTCTGCTCCTTCCCGCCTGTGGGACCGTGGACACGTCTGTTCCTCCGAGTCATGGTGCATGGGCTGTGGGTCAGACCCCCACCTCCCCCAAAGGGAAGGCCCACAGCGCACAGCCGGGCCCTGGTTAGAGCTCAGGAAGGACCCAGCCCTCCCTCCTGCCCTTCCTGGAAGCATCCCACATGCACAGGCCCCACTGTCGGGGGGGTGGGGGTGGTCAGGCTGCAGAGTGGGACAGGGATCTGGGCTGGGATGGAGAAGGGTGAGTCTACCTGCAGGTACAGGGACAGCATGAATAATAATAATAATCCTATATAATAAAGAGCTAATTAGGCAGAACAGTAGAACGACCATCCAGATGTCCTTCTGGACGACCTCCCGGATGATGCTGGGGCTGCGAAGCCGGCCTGGGCTGCGAAGCCTGAGCCCCTTGCACTAGTTTCATGCATCAGGCCTCTAGTAATAACAATAATAAGAATAATAGTAATAATGCCCTGACCAGTTTTGCTATGTTGGTTAGAGCATCAGCCCTTGAACTAAAGGGTTGTAGGTTCGGTCCCTGGTCGAGGGCACATATGTTAGTTGCAGATTCGATCCCCCACCCTGGTCAGGGCACATGCAGGAGGCAACCAGTCAATTTGTCTCTCTCACATCAATGACTCTCTCTCTCTCTCTTGCTCTCGCTCTCTCTCTCTCTTTCTCTGACTCCTCCCTGACTTCCACTCTCTCTCTAAAGATCAATAGAAAAAATATCGTTTGCTGAGGATTAAAAGAATAATAACAGTAACAACAACACACAGGGATCCCCCTGTCCCAAGTTCCAGTCCCACCCCTGCCCCATCCAGGCTGGGTGACCTGGGATTTCTGAATAACCTCTCTGAGCCTCAGTGAAATGGGTGGTGGGGTCAGCAATCCCTGTCGCATGACTGCTGTGAAGTTAGAAGAGATGAATGACAGACCCCAGCATGTGCCTCACACACAGTAGGTGCTCTTTGATTACATCATTGGCTCATTCATAACATCACTTGTGTTTAAGGTCTCGAATGGAACTGGAATATCCTGATCGGGGTCTCGGTGGCCCTCCTCCTGCTGCTCTCCCTTCTTCTCTTCCTCTTCCTCCGATTCAGGCATCAGAGCAAAGGCAGTACATTGGGTGAGTAGGGGTGACCTGAGTCACAGGAGCGGGGCTCAGAGCACCTGCCACAGGAAAACCAAACAGCTGGAGAAGGTCAGCTGAGTGGATTTCTCCAGAACCTCAAATCAGGAAATGTGGAGCCCCAGCTGGTTTGGCTCAGTCGATAAAGCGTCAGCCTGATCCAAAGGCCCCAGGCTTTCACTGACCTTGCCTGCCTCCCCACCCCCGCCGCCGTCCCTAACTCTACTGTCTCCTCTTTCAGCTGCAGCCAAGAAGAAACCCCTCTGTGAGAGAAAGAGACAGCTGCTCTGGGGGTGGGCACAGGGATTTCAGGAGATGATCGGGGAGGAGATGGGCTGAGAGCATGTGGGGTCAGGGTGAGAAGGACTGAGACCCACACTGTGTGACCTGGCGCTTCACCTCACCCTTGGTTAGTGGCCATCTGGGAGCAGGCTGGGGTCTACAGCCCTGAGATCTCAGGGACCTGCCAGGAGACACCCCCTGTTCTGCCCCAGCAGATGCTTCTGTGAAGGACCCTCAGCCTGGGGAGAGCATGGAGCTGGACCCTCGGGTGAGACCCCTGCCCCTGTCCAGGCCACCAAGGACCTTCTGTTGCCCAGTTTAATCCAATGGACACTTCACTGTCCCCACCTCACCTGCTTCTCAGCAGCCTCCACACTGACCTCCCCTCTGGGCCCCAGGTCGTCCTGCTGTGACTCACTCCTCCTGGTTTCCTTGTGACCTCATGGCCCCTCATATGTGGCCCACTTTGCTGGCCCCTCATCCTCTGTCTGACCTTGTTCAGCCCCAGGTATCAGGAGGAGGCAGAATAAGTGACTCACCCACAGGTCCCCATGACCCCGTTCATTCATTCACCCAGCAGATGTGACAGGGCTCACTGGTTACCGGCTCCATTTCAGGGCCATGGTGCAGCCCTGAGCCACACTGTCTACACTTGCCTCGAGCTCACCTGTGGGTGAGGGAGACAATATGCAAACAAGCAGACAGTGTCCCAGAGAGCATAGTGCTGTGAAGGAACATAAAGCAAGAGGAGAGGATATAGTGCATGGTGGGGGGACAGGAAAAGAGCGGGTGCAAAGGTCCATAGGCAGGACATGCTTCTTCAGGAGAATGGGCCATGAGGATGGAGCCCAGTGACCAAGAGAGAGCGCGTTAGGATAAGAGTCAGAACCATAGAACCATCCAGAGGCCTCAAGGCTCGGAAAGGCCCTGCAGATTCCACCAGGAGAGGGACCTGATATACTTAAAGTGTAAATCATTTCTCTGGCAACATGTGGATACATGACAGGAGGCACTGTCTCCAGCAGAACAAGCAGGATGAAGACCCCCAGGGAGTGACATACGCCCAGGTGAACCACTCAAGACCAAGACCCGGGCAGGGAATGGTCACCTCTCCTTCCTACCTGTCGGAGGAATTGCTGGACACAAAGGGCAGACAAGCAGAAAAGGACAGACAGATGGACAGTCAGGTGAGTCCCATTCTCTGCAGACCTCCAGGTTTCCCCAACCACAACCAAGTGTCATCCCTCTCTCTCCCCCCTGCTCCAGGCTGCACCTGACGCCCCCCAGGATGTGACCTACGCCCAGCTGAACCTCTTGGCCCTTAGACGGCAGACAAGTGCACCCCCATCCTCCCCATCAGAGGAGCCCCGAGAAGAGCCCAGCTTGTATGCTGCTCTAGCCATCCACTAGCCTAGGAAGGACCCAGACCCCACGCTTCAGGGAGGGGGCCTGCAGGGACCCCAGAAGGCATGAGTACTTCCCCATGGACACTCAGCTAATGACCTCAGCCAGTCTGGAGAACAGACCTGCTCCCCCGTCAGTTCCTGGCACCCTCTGGCAGTCACTTGGTTCTATAAGCAATATGCCTATATTTTGGAATCAAAGCAAGACTTCTCAATAATCAATATGTGAATTTAGGACAAAACAGAAGTGAGAGGATGCTTTAAATGAATAACAATGTAAATATCATACATCAAACTTAGGAAGTGGAACATAAAAACAATGTAAATGTCCTTGAACTGATAATGGGATAAAGATCTGGGAACATATACAAAGAGAATATTACTCAGCCATAAAAAATGAAATACTGCCATTTGCCACAACATGGATGGATCTGGAGAGCATCACGCAAGTGAAGAAAGTCAGAAAGAAAAGGACAAGAACTGTATGATTTCACTCATGTGGGTGAAATATGAAACTCGGAACTGTCATGTATGTTAAATATATGGAATCTTTAATTAAAAACTTTCCTGCAGCCCTGGCTGGTTAGCCTCAGTGGATGAGCATTGGCCTGCTGACTTAAGGGTCCGGGGTTGGATTCCAGACAAGGGCACGTGTCTGGGTTGCGGGAGCGATCTCCAGTGGAAGCCTGCAGGGGGCAGCTGATCAGTGATTCTCTCTCATCATTGAGGTAATCTCTCTCTCTCTTTCTCTCCCTTCCTCTCTGAAATCAATATATATATTTAAAAACACACACACACACACACACACACACACACACTTTCCTGCAAGGTGACCTTAGTGTTCCTAAAGTTTCTCTCCTAAATACTTCTAAACACTTATTCATGTATGAAATACAGACATATACACATGCATGTATGAAATACATACACATATATACATGGACATACACATGGGCACACACAGACATATACACAATCATACATGGACATATACATGGGCACACATGGACATACACATCAACACACACACATACACACATGGACATATACATGGACACACACATAGACACACACACAAT